TTCACTTTACCTGCATCAGGGCTTGCCTTTAAACACAGCTTTTTTCTTTTGTATTCCACGCCAAGGCTGTATTAAGCAGATGCTGGAAGACTGGGGAGGTATGAGGGATGGTGGCTAGGTCAGTAGGTTGGGGAGGTGAAAGAGGGCATTGGCTGTGTGGGAATGACCCTGTGAGCCCTCACTGGAGTAACAATCTGTCTTGGTTGACAACTTCAGCCTCACACTGAGGATGAACCTTGGGTTCCCTCCTCCTGTATTGTGATATCTTTTATTAGACCAACTGTTAGTTGAGATATCACATCTACTCAAAGAACCATGCCTGCCTATGTCCTTAGTCCAACATGGCTACAACCAAACCTAACACCACCCCCTCTCCGCCTGTATTTGCATTTTGCGGAGAAGGGGAGAGCCCCACAGACCCTTGCTCAAGGTTCCTGGCTGAGCTGGAAATAGAAAATGGGTGTCTGGACAAACAGCCTTGGCCTGTGCCTAGATGCTCTTGAACTTTCTGCAGGCTGCCACAGTGCGTGTGGCAGCTGGCATTTTCCCAGAATGCACTGCCCATCCTGGCAGCTCAGCTGCTGCAGCCGAGTCTGAGACGGAGCTGCTTGAAGCACCAGTGCTGCAGCTCTCAACCTCGTTGAACTTGGAGTGCCTTTCACTGGACTTGTCAATCGAGTGGCAACCAGTTTCCAAACTGAATTGATATACTACAGTGCTTGCTGAAGGGCTGGGGATCGGCCAGGCAGGGACAAGCCTTATCTCTTCACACCACACTTATCTCCTTGCACCTCGCTGCACCCTTCAAGGGATCTAGGCACTCCTGGGTGCCCTGGCAGCCTGGTTGAGAATCACTACATGAGGGTGTGCACATTTTTTAATTAAAATATATTTCTCTATATATGTATAGACTTATATATATATACATCCTCTATCATAAACTTTCCATCACACATCTTAAACTGCATTAAGACGCCCGCGCTGCCATTGCAATAAATGCACCCACTCCCCTGCGCCCCGCGCACCCACCCTCTACCCTTCCCCAACACAAACGCAGTCCCTTAGTCCAAGCCCCGATTGGGGGTTTACATTCTCAGTTCATTCGCTGTCCTTGTCGCTGTCACTGTTACTGTGCACATGCCTTGGTGATGGCACCTGTTGCCAGCCACCAGATCTCCCAGCAACTGAGTATGGACATAGCCTCCCACTCTGGCTCTAACCACCTTTATGGTTATGCTGCCTTTATGATTCAATATGTGAACAAAATTATTCCCTTAAAATGCAGCTGCCCCCTGCCTCATATTCCCACTCCTCACCTTTGCACGTCTCCTTGGCCTTCCAAACATCTGCAGTGCCATCAAGCAGACGGGCTCCTGGCTGTGTGCTGGAGTGCATGGCAGGCCTGGGCTCTCAGTTGGTGTTTCTTCTTATCTTGGGGCTTAATCTGGCTGGTTCTTTGTGTGCATCTCCCAGGATAGCTGTGCCTTTGTCCCCCAGGTGGTCACTAACATAACCACAGTCTAGAAGTGTAAAATGAAAAGGGCTGCTGAAGAACAGCCACTGAAACAAATGCCCCCTGCCAGTTGCCCAAAGAAGCATTGTCCCAGAGCAATAGGCAATAGGTTGGGCCCACTGATTTGGGAAAAGATGAGTGTTTGTGGGTGATGTGGGTAACATCCCTGGTTCTGCCATGGATATGCTGTGACCCCTTAGGGTAGTATAAGAGTGATGAAGAGCCATAATGGTCCAGCAATTATGCAAAAGGCAAGGAATCCTTAGGGAACATATTCTGTCTCCCTTTTCCCCAAGTGTGAATCAGCTGTCAGTGTCTCACCCAAGAGCTGATTCCATGTCAGTTATTCTACAGGTCCTGATCCACTTGCTGTCTAAGTCACTTAAAGGTATATTTTCCGTTTCCTGCATAAGAGTAGTTCATAAATTATTTTGGGTGAAAGCTGCTTTCTAAATGTGAACTGTTACTGCTTTTTTGAATTTCAGTGTTCTTCCTGGCCAGCTCTGTTCCTTGGTACCAAGGAAAGCCTGAAACTGGCTGTATTTGTGGCTGTAGCAGAGAAGGAAATCTCTGAAATTTCAAAAGACACCATAAATACTTAAGGCATAATGAATCTGTGAAACTCATTGCCACAAGGCTAAGAGTTTAACAGGATTAGAAAAAAAAAAAAGGATGAGGACACAATTAGCACAGTTAGGACAATCAATTTTAGAAGGGACAGAAACCTTCCGGCTTGAAAGCAAAAGCTAAAGGGATAAGAGTGCCTTGGGGACATAAAAAGGGGGAGGGGGAGTTGATGTGCCATCTAATCTAGACTAGAGCATTTGGTACTGCCTGCATTTAGAGCAGGGGCGGGCAATTGTTTCGGGCGGAGAGCCGCTTACTGAGTTTTGGCAAGCCATCGAGGGGTGTGTGGCAGGCAGCCAGGGGGTAGATAAATATTAATTTTCTAAATGTTTAGAGGCCCCGCGGGCCGGATAGAATGGCCTGATGGGCTGCTTTTGGCCCCCGGGCTGCATTTTGCCCACCCCTGATTTAGAGGCAGGATGCTGGACAAGCAGGGGAATTAGCTGTGCTTAGGAGACAGTTACCTTTGGGACAGAGGGAAAGAACCAACTCCCAGGGGAACTCTGTCTACGGCTCTGTATGCTCCATGTTTCCTTTGACCTTGCCTTCTGTATCAGACACAGGGAGGCGTGTGTGAGAGCAAATTGAGAACAAAGCGCTCTGCTGCACAGGTTTCGGCCAGAGGAGCTGCAGGGGAGGAGGGAGCAGCCATGTGACAATAGGTAGCTATGTTGCTTAATGTCTTTCTGGAAGGTGCTCAGTATTGCATCCAATGGCTAGAGTGTGCAAACCCAGGAAGACTAGAGCAGACCGCGTTATGGCAGCTCCTGTGTGTTCGTGCTGGCCTTGGGGCTGTTTGTCATCCTCTGCTTAGCGCCAGCGCTGCTCTATTGCCTTAAAGTGTAAACACTGCCTGCAACGTTTCAACATGATGCAAGCCAGGTAAAGGGTCGGATTCTTGCTAAGAGCACTCACCTCTGCAGGCAGGAGGCGAGGCCTGTGGCATGCGTCGCTCAGCGAGGTGCATCTAAGCATGCTGCGTGTTAGATGAATCCAGCCAGCACCCCACACCCTTTGGCCTGAACAAGGGAACGAGGGGCACTTCTTTCCTTTGGTCAACCTGCACTGTTTTGCCCTGCTAAAGCCAGAGGTACAGGATCACTGTGGGAGCAGGCAGGAGATGGGAGCCCGTAGGAAAGGGGAGAAGCCAGCTGATCTGGAGGTTCCCAAGCTGCAAGCTGCAGAGATAATATCTTCTCCTTCCTTCCAGATGCTAATATGCGTTAAAAGGAGCTATAAATTCCTGGAATACTTTCCTATCATTACTTGCCATCTAAAACATTGCTGACTTTTGCCACAGCATAGTTGGGCTGTTAGGTGGGGCCGCCTGTTCCTAGACGGCAAAGGGAGGAAGGTAGCCCATGTGATCCTGAATGGGAGGGGAGGTGCCTACAAATCTGCCTTGGCTGAAGTGTGGCCTGTGCTCCTGCGTGTCTGCTAATCCCTGGCCTGATCTATGCAGCCATTCTTGCACACGGGAGCATCAGTGCATGACACTTATGTAGCTCTTTTCACGTGGGCCATGAAAGCAATGCACCCATGTTTGTGCGCATGCACTGCCGAGAGGGGTGGCAGCCATGGGTTATGATTTCAGTTGTCTGGATAGGGAAGCTGAGGTGGAAAGAGGCTGTGTTCACCCAAGGGTGCAGAGCCAGGGGCTCTGACCCACAGACTCACGTTCTTCCTTACAAATATAAACTTCCTAGAGCCCTAACGCTGGCTCCTACTGCAGTCACTGTTGAAGCTGAGGTGGAGTAAGTGCACCTTATACAGAACCTGGACCGTGTCCTTCATTAATTTGCTGGCACAGTGGCAAAATCGGTCTTTGCTCTGGATTTGCTTTTGTCCCCAATGGCTGCTCCCTTGTAGAAATCTACTCCAGAAATCCTTTCCTGCACCCTGGCTTCCTGGCCGTACCTGACCTCCATGCAAGTCTCCTTAGCCAGAACTGTTTCCCTGGGCTAGCTGAAGGGAAACCCTGGTCTGGATTTCTTTTGCCAAAGGAGAATGACTCAAAGGTAGGAGCCTGGCTGGAAGGCACTCTCCTGGCTGGCAGAGAGCACCTGAGCACATTGGCTTTGCCTGGAATAGGTGTGTCTCCCACCTCGCTGTGTCAGCAGGAGGTGGGGCTGGGGGCCAGCGGAGGAGGTGGAGCAGCAGGTGTAAGTCCACATCTCGCTGGGAGAAGGAAGAGCAGATTTAAAGTGCCTGAACTTCACTGAAAAGAGAAAAATCTCTTGGCCTCTGCCCACCTGCTCTGAGAAGATAATCTCCTTTGGTGCCAGGCACGCTTGGGCTCTTTGTTCTTTCCCGGGTGAAAGCGTGCGAGGCTCAGCGCTGCCCATGGGAGCAGCCAGCAGTCCGGGCCTCCGTGGAATATGAACGTGAGATTCCAGGCAAGTGTCTCTATCCCAGCAGGTGTGCGAGTCTGAAGAAGGCATTTCTGTGCAGGTAGCTTTGCATGCCCCATACCGAGCAACAGCCAGTGGAGCGGGGGAATGGGCTGCAGGGATAAACCTGGTAACTTGCCTCTACAAAGAATGAGAACCGTGGGGTGAGGAAACCACCTGGTCTAAGGGGAGGTGGAGGGAGAGGTGCATTTCCCCTGCAATGTTGCTCTCTTTGTGGGTGTCAAAGAGACAGCTGAACCCCTTGGCTCTCTGCAGGGGGTTAGTAGTGCCTTTAGCTTCTTTTACAGCCTGTGAACTTAGTGCTGGGAAAGGAAACTATGTGGGGACGGAAGTATCCAGAGCAGACGCAAAGTGGTGGCAGGGCAAGCGTCTCTTACACGCTGTCCCCAGCCATGTGCTTCCACCGTGATCTAAAAGACTGCAGGGCATTCGCTGAAATGGCTGCTGTGGCAGGGTCACTTGAGA